CTATACAGCAGGTAGGGAAGCCAGTCAGGTTTGTGCCATCCCTTCAGTGCAGTAAGTTCCTCCATGCTGCAGGTAGGTTCAGAGATAACTGGCTTAAAGCCAGGTATTGGAGTCAAAACCCTTAGAAATCTGTCTGTTGTTCTGTTCTACTGTGGCTACGCTGGCCCTCAAACCACGAGACAAATTCCTTTCCACTGTTCCTTCCCCTTTCCATAGGCAGAAGAGCCTCACTCTGCGGCCATCATTTCCACAGGCCCAAATAGAGTATTTGGGCCAGGCTACAACCAATGTTCCCATAAAGCCCAAGGGCTCTTCAGTCAGTCAGCTTGTTGTAAATGTTGCCAGGCATGAGACTCACCCCTCAGGATAGTGCACTCCCATCTGGCCCAGAGCAGGACCAGAAATGCCATCCAAGAGCCTAGGCCTGGACTTGGGGACTTCAAGAGCCTACTTAGTGCTCTACCCCACTGTGGCTGAACTGGTATCTAAAGTGCAAAACTAAGTCCCCTTTACCTCCCCCCCTCCCTGCATTTTTCTCAAGCAGAAGGAGTTTTTCACCAAAGTCATCACAGCTGGGAATATGTTAGGTTTCACCTAAAGTCAGCGTGTCTAAGATTCTCACCTGAGACCCACAGTATACTACCTAGATATCATTGTTAGTCATCCAGGGACCAAGAGCTCTCTAGTAAGCAGGTGATGAATTCTGCCAGGACTGGGTCCTTCTCATCAAGGCAGCTGGTTTCTTTCTGGCCCATTTTTGTCTAGAAATGTCATCTAGGAACTAGATATCAGCAACTGTGTTTTCTACCCTCTCAGTGCCTCCTTCAGTGATTGGAAGTTAAAACCAGGTGACTTTACCTGATTTTTGGTTCTTATGACAGTGCTTTTTTGTGTGTGCTTAGTTGTTAAAATTTGGTGTTCCTGCATGGGGAATCATTGGTGGAATCTTCTATTTAGCCATCTTGCTCTGCCCTTCTGACACTCTGTACATCAAATTTCAGATGTTCAAAAATCTCATATTTTTTTTCATATTTGCCTTGGTATAGGACATTAAAAGGTAGAAAATTCTGAATATGAAAGACTAAGCACATATATTTACTTTTGTTCCCTCCTGAAATCCTATTGAAATGTCAGTAAAGACATGTAGTAAAGCAAACCTGAAAGAGTTATGAGGTGCCACTGGGGTATTTCTGGAAGATAGAAAGTAGAGAGGCTCAGACCAATGAAGAAACTGGAGGCATACAAACAACACTCTACAACATGTAATAGAAGAAGTTGCTGTGGTAGTAAGAGCCATTCCCTGGAGTAATGCCAACTTCAAAGACAAAAATAAGAGAATGAAGTAGGCTACAGGGTAGTCATCAAAGAGGGAAGGAACTGAAGAAATGTTTATGAGCAGCTAAACAGGTTAGCCTCTTCCTCTCATTATGCTGTAGCATTTGCCTCCTTGAAATGTTTTTTCAACAAAGTTGAAAATCTAGTGGTTAGCACATATAGCTATGGGTGTTGACCGCAATATGAGAAGCAGAACAGATCCCAGGTTACTTCTGAGCCTCTGCCAGGGCCTAGGAGAGAACAAAGAAGCAGTACTAACCCAGAGTGAGAAAAATAAATTATTCTGTTACAGGAAAGGGGTCCCTATCCAGACCCCAAGAGAGAGTTTTTGGATCTTGCACAAGAAAGAATTCAGGGTGAGTCCATAAAGTGAAAGCAAATTTATTTAAAAAGTAGAGGAATAAAATAATGGCTACTCCATAGACAAAGCAGCCTTGGGGGTGGCTGGTTGCTCATTTTTATGGTTATTTCTTGATGATATATCAAACAAAGGGTGGATTATTCATGCTTTCCCTTTCTAGACCATGTAGGATAACTTCCTGATGTTACCATGGCATTTGTAAACCTTACATAGATGGGAGTATAGCAGTGAGGATGACCACGGGTCACTCTCGTGGCCATCTTGGTTTTGATGGGTTTTGCTGGCTTCTTTACTATAAGCTGTTTTATCTCTTAGTCCTTAATCCTAAATTTAATCCTACTGCAAGCTGTTTTAACCTTTAGCCCTTAAACCTAAGGGTTGCAGAGGGAGGAAGATCCATTTTCTGTAAATTCTTCAGGTTGAATGGGGTGATGATATTCCTGCCTAATTATTAGGGTCTCTTGTGTTCAGGGTAGAGAGGAGCTCAGTCAGAAAGCATCAATATGGTGAGGGCCATTTACAACTCTGAATTTCAACAAAAGGTGATACCTGGAAGATTAGTAAGTATTTGATTTAAGAAAACATTCAGTCAGTTTGTCCTGCATTTCTATACAAAGAATACAACAGCAATATATTTCACAAGAGTAAAGCAAAATAAGTAAAATTATCCAAAGTAAACTAAGGAAGAAGTATTCCTATGAAATGGACAACTGCTGGAACCAAGATGATATGAGGTTGCTAGCTGATTTCAATACATGCCCAGAACTGGAATATTGATCCAGATTTTTACATTAGCCATTTCTCTTGTTTCTTCTGAGGAGCAGCCAGAGATCACTGATTGCTTTACAAGAATAAGCAGGGTTAGCCTAAATTGCAGAAACAAACTTAAAAACAACTAATGAGATTAGAATTTAATAACAAGTTACTATAGTTCTTGAAACATAATATTTCTCCAGTTTCCCATTTCTACTAAAGACAAATCATGGTAAGACTGATTTGCTTTATTGTACTTAGCCTGATTATTTGTATAAAGTGCAGCAAGAATAATTATTTCTTACATAAGCTCTTTTCAAATTGGTTTTGATGCAACCAGTCCCATAGAAGGAGACTTTATTTTTATTTTTGTTTGTTTGTTTGTTTATTGAGACAGAGTCTCACTCTGTCATCCAGGCTGGAGTACAGTGGCACAATCTCAGCTCTGCCTCCTGTACTCAAGGAATTCTCCTGCCTTAGCCTCCTGAGTAGCTGGGATTACAGGCATGTACCACCACTCCTGGCTAATTTTTATATTTTTGGTAGAGAGTCGGTTTCTCCATGTTGGCCAGGCTGGTCTCAAACTCCCAACCTCAGGTGATCCTCCTGCCTCGCCCAAAGTGCTGGTATTACAGGTGTGAGCCACCATACCTGACCTCAGGAATTTTTTAAAGCCAAGCCAAGCCATGGGTTTGTACCCTCAAATACCTATAAGTTGGGTAAATTCCTCTCCTTTTAAGGTCCTAAGATAACTTGGAGCTCCTAGATCTGTTAGAAAGTGACATTCTTTACTTACCACGTGTTAGAAACCCTCTACAGGGACTGTGGAGGCAAAGTATGAGGCCAGTTCCCCAAAACCCTTTTATTGGTTTTACAAGTCAAGTTTGATTCCTTAAATGAAAGCACATCATTCCAGTCAAAGCCTTGGTAAAATAACCAGTGTCTCTGATTGTGTCCTGTTACAAATGAAAACAGATTCCTTTTTTTCCCCTCAGACTGGAATGCAATGGTGAGATCTCAGCTCATTGCAATCTCTTCCTCCTGGGTTCAAGTGATTCTCCTGCCTCAGCCTCCCAAGTATCTGAGATTACTTGCACCCATCACTGTGCCCAGCCAATTTTTGTATTTTCAGTAGAGACAGGGTTTCTCCATGTTAGCCAGGCTGGTCTTGAACTTCTGACCTCAGGTGATGCATTCACCTCAGCTTCCCAAAGTGCTGGGATTATAGGTGGGAGCCACCACACCTGGCCAAAAACAGATTCTTATTGCACTTATGCAAACAACTATTTTGCCCTAAATTAAGAACATTCACAAATAGTTTCCAAATTCTGGAGAAGTTATGTAGAGAGAAACAAATATGCCCCCAATTTTGTTCACAGGAGTATACATTACTCAATTGTTAAAAGCTGTAGTAGCTCAAAATTAAAGTTTTCTTGGATCTGAAAAACAAAACAAAGGATTGGCAACATTTTAAGCAAAACATTAAAAAGAGTATTTTAGACTTCTATTAGTTTAGTCCATGTGCAGTTAACTCCTGTTTGATAGTCATGGAACATTTCAGCTCTCCATGAGAGTCCTGAACGTTTTTTCCTCTATTCTGACGTCACAGTCTCCAAACTTATCAGAAAACCTGCATTCAAGAACACCTGCTAGAGTTCTACATAAATCACCTTTTAAAGAGAATCAAAAGAAGACAACAATTGTCTGTGGATGACAAAACATCTTAGGACAGCCACAGTTAAAAACATAATTGACAGATTTGGCTAACTCTATAGCTTACAATGATTTTATGTAATAATTATAGTTATTAATAATATATGCTAAGGCATTTCAGAATTATAAATTTCCTGTAATTTTGGAACATATACCAATAATGTATTTATACAAATGCAGCTGAAAGAAAACCAGTCACCATTTTGCATTTGATAATGCTTCCTGTATGACTTTATACCAGATACGCCAAATGTCACTGTTGCATTAATGCGTTATTGGTTTCAAACCGAATTCTTAATAAAACCTTACAGACAAATATATTTAATCAGTTTGACCATAAGGTATGATTCTCATAAACTTTTTATAATCCTTTACAATTTTTGTTTAAAGAGCAGATTAAAAGCAGGTTTTTGCTCTAAGGAAAACCTATTGTGGATTTTATTCCAATGTATGGAAATACTCAATAATACCCCTTTAACTTGAACCAATATGTTCACACACACAGTTTCTTTTACAAGATTAATTTTTCAGAAACTTTCCATATTTGTTTAAACCTTCAGCCTTATTTTATCTAACTTAAAACAATCCTTTTGGCAAAAAAAAGAAAAAATACACATTACCTTGACTTCTTATAATCGTTTACCAAAAGTATATTCTATTTTTCTTACAGGCCTTGTCTGTAGACTGTTTTTTTAGTAGTCTCAATTACATGTTAAATATTGACTCTTAGCAACTTTTACTTTTGGTAAAAACCTTGGTATGTAAGGGATTCACTATGTACTGGGTGTGGAGCCTGGGACTCAGACAGAAGTGCAGATAACATCTGATTTTTTTCCAGTGTCGAACTTCACATGTTCCAGGCCTTACCCAGCTGTAAAGCAGGCAAGTTGTATAGGTAAGAGTCCTAGTGGCATTTTATGAAGCATTTAGGAGGTCTAATCACCTTTAAGTTGCATATTTCATGCATAAATTCCCTTTTATAAATTATTTTACAACTTACACAGACAATCTACGACATGCTTGGACTTTTTGACTTGTCCTAAACATGTCTTTTAAACAACCAGTTATTTACTTTAGGACAAAAATTTACTATATAAGATCCTTTCTTATATAAAAGCTCTTTTCTTTATAACCTTCTTTGCATAGCAGGGGTCATGGCTAATTTCACATGTCCCCAGGTCTTATCTAGAATCTAATGCTCCAAAACAAATTGAATCACTTTTAAAAGTCAAAGAACCAGTTTATGACCTTGAAGTATTTAGCAAACTTAATATCTAACCCACATAATTTAGACCAAATGTTTACATCTTTGAAGATATTTTTATTTTACCAATAATCTTTAAAACTGTTATTTCTCAAGGATTATATCACATGAGGCCAGGCGCAGTGGCTCAAGCCTGTAATCCCAGCACTTTGGGAGGCCGAGGCGGGTGGATCACGAGGTCAAGAGATCAAGACCATCCTGATCAACACAGTGAAACCCCGTCTCTACTAAAAAATTACAAAAAATTAGCTGGGCATGGTGGCACGTGCCTGTAATCCCAGCTACTCAGGAGGCTGAGGCAGGAGAATTGCCCGAACCCAGGAGGCGGAGGTTGCAGTGAGCCGAGATCACGCCATTGCACTCCAGCCTGGACAACAAGAGCGAAACTCCATCTCAAAAAAAAAAAAAAAAGATTACATCACATGACCTAAATAAAATGCATTAAATTTTTTACTTTTCTGACAAAAGATTTGGTTTCAGCTCTTCTTAAGCCAATTAAACAAAATTCTTTCATATATAAACTCTTCATGACAGAACAATACAGACAGACATACAAAGTTCACCAGATTCGCTACAGCTTAAGACTAGCCTCACAAGCCCTTTTTCCCATTAATCAAAACTTTACATGAGATAAACAGTGATTTTTACCATTCATTCAACTGGTCTGCACAGGAGAGAAAGGAAAGCATTGCCTCAGGCAGGGTGGGGAAGGCAAAGACTTCAGGGAGACCAGAGAAAGACCTACTTATTGCTCAGAAGTTCAGTTGGCCACTTCTTGGTAGTGAAGGGATATTTTCCAGCAGTCCATCATCTCTCAAGTTTTCCCCCTTTTTGGGAGGATGATCCTGTACATGCCTAATCCTTTCACCTATAGCCATCAGCAAAGAGTGCAAGGCAGATTAATCCAAAGAGAATAGCAGTTCACATCCCATAGTGCCAAACCCATTCTCAGCCAAATGGACTTTACCAAGAGGGGCCTCCAACCCTCTAAATCTTATAAGAGACCATAACCCTCCTAAGTTGGGCCTCCAACCCAAGGTTGGTCAAGCATCCTTGCCTTTTATTAAGAGGGGCTTCTAACCCACTGTTTTAGGAGAGACTTTGACTCCCCTAAGTTGGGCCTCTGATCCAATCCCTTTATTTACCCAGGTATCCCACCACTTACTCAGAGTCAGCTGATCAGTGCTACGGTCCATTTCCTTTGGATCAGGGGGTTTCTTCAGTATTGTCCCTTCAAGGTTTGCCAGAAAGATGTTACTGGGCCCCACCACTTACCCAAAGTTAGCATTTAGGTCAGGGATATCCTTACTATAGTCCATTCCGTGGTCACCAGAAAGATGTTACGGAAATGGGTCCTGATCCAGACCCCAAGAGAGGGTTCTTGGATCTTCTGCAAGAAAGAATTTAGGATGAGTCCAACGAGTAAGGTGAAATCAAGTTTATTAAGAAAGTAGAGGAATAAAAGAATCCTACTCCATAGACAGAGCAGTACCAAGGCCTGCTGGTTTCCCATTTTTGTGGTTATTTCTTGATGATATGCCAAACAAGAGGTAGATTATTGTGTGCTTTCTAGACCATATAGGGTAACTGCCTGCCCTTTCTAGACCATATAGGGTAACTTCCTGATATTGCTGTGGCATTTGTAAACTGTCATGATACTGGGAGTGTAGCAGTTAGGACAACCAGAGGTCACTCTCGTGGCCTAAGAAGGTTTTGATGAGTTTTGCCTGGTTTCTTTATCAGCAAGATTTTTATGATCTGTATTTTGTGCTGACCTCCTATCTCATTTTGCAACTTAGAATGCCTTAACCATCTGGAAATGCAGCCCAGTAGGTCTCAGCCTTGTTTTACCCAGCTCCTATTCAAGATAGAGTTGCTCTGGTTCTCACACCTTTGACAATTCCACTCTAGCTGTAATGTATTCTTGGTTGGTCACCTCTGGAAATCATCAGATATGTGCTTGCTTCTGCTCATAAATCCAAGCTTGCTGGTAGATACACAGTATCCACTCATGTAGTATCTGAGTCAACCTCCTGCTCTGCAGGGAGTGACCTTTTGGATAAAACAACCTCTTAACAGTAGAGAAAATTCTTGCTAGGTACCAATATATATCAACCTCGTCTTTTGTCAATAAATAAGAATGGATTACCATGGATCATTTAGACATTTGAGGCAAATCAATACCATGAAAGAAGAGAATCAAGTTTAACCAAATGAATGGTAGTGGTAGAAAGGTTAGCAGTCTACCAAAGACTAATGATCTCCGTTCATGGTATACAGTTTTCCTGGAGTCCCCTGCCCAACCAGTGGCAGCATTTCCCAGACACCTTTGCAGCCAGGTAGGGTCGTGTGATTAGCTCTCACTAGAGAGCTCTTACCACATTTAAGCAGATAGGGTAAGAGTCATTTATTGGCCAAAGTAATCAAGAAGCCAGTTTGTCTTTCCCATTTATTTCTTTCCTCATAGCTTATTCACTTATTTCTTCTACTTAAATGTCACCTCTTTAGATACCTTACCTGATATTTCTAAATAAAATAGCTCACATTCTGCCCTTGCTCCATCACTCTTAATCTAGCCTATCACTGTGCTTTACTTTTTTTTTTTTTTGAGACAGTTTCACTCTTTGTCGCCCAGGCTAGTGTGTAGGGATGCGTAATCTCAGCACACTACAACCTCCACCTCTAGGGTTCAAGCAATTCTCCTGTGTCAGCATTCCGAGTAGCTGGGATTACAGGTGCCTGCCACCACACCTGGCTAATTTTTATATTTTTGGTAGAGACAGGGTTTCATCATGTTGGCCAGGATGGTCTCAAACTTCTGACCTTAAGTGATCCACCTGCCTGCCTCAGCCTCCCAAAGTGCTGGGATTACAGGCGTGAGCCACTGCGCCTAGCTATTTGTTCTTATAGTACCTCTCACTATATGATTTTTGATTAAACATATCTGTTTATGTGTTGTAAAAAAAATCTATCTTCCCCACTAGAAAGAAAACTCCATGAGGGCAGGGAATTTAATTTATTGCAGCTATTCCCAGTCCCTACAGCAGGGCATGTAACCTATCAAACATTCAGTAGTTAGACAGAATGAATGATTAAAGCTTTGATGGTGGGGAAATGCATGTGCCTCAAGAAGGAGTATCATATCATTCAATTTTTAGTTAGGTGTCAATACTGAGGTTGTCAAGGAGTGCTAGAGAACGCAAGGAAAATTTTGTATCCTTTACATATAAACAGACCCAGGGGAGTGAAGCTTTAAAAAGTCTAAGGCTACAATTTCCAGGTCAGTATATTGGCAAGGGTTAAGGGAAGGCATTGAATTTTTGCTGCACCCACCCTTGTTCACAGTGATCTGTGGCCTCTGTCACATCCATTACAGTTCTTGGTTATAGTGAGAGGCTGCAGGGTGCTTAAGTACTCTCCGTGGGCTGCTGTTTTGTTCAGCTTTCAAACCATAAAGAAGTGTGAAAATTAGGTCACACCTCATGAAATTTAAATAACAAACACTCTACCTAGCTTAATAATACCCTAGTTCTCCCACTGCTACATTTCATTGTGCCTATAAGTGGAAATTATTATTTTTGGTTTAGTATCACAACTTGAGATGAATTTCTGCCCATTCTCATATCTGGCCATTGTGGGAGAACTGACATGTTTCATTTATTCTTGTTCCTTAGAATGAATTGGGATGATGAATATTCTCATAGTTCTTTTGACCTACATTGTTTGTTAAACTCATCTCCTGGAGACTTGGAGTTTGAGCAGATCTTCAGTGACATTGATGAAAAGATTGAACAAAATGCTGCAAGGTAAATATGGTTAATTATTTAAAACAATTTGTTTTCACATTTCACTTATATGACATTTACCTGGTCTATTTGTGTCCTGCTCTTAGATAACTTTAGGTTTTAATTATTATTAACTTTCCCCAAAAATATTGATTAGATTTACCTCTCACTTAAAGTTTACATGATTGTCTTTATCTGAGTAGTATTTTTAAAACAAAAAAATATAAGCACTGTCTTGAAATAGGCAATTAAAGTTTATTGAATTGCTACTAATGTTTTCTTAGAGCTTGTCAATATTGATGTCCTAGATTTTCATTAATATGGTTAGAGTATAAGGTCATGATTGCTTACATTATAAAAACAGAACATTAAAAGAAATTATTTTTGCATAATATTGGTCATTTTAAGATTCTTTCTCAGTTAAGTAGGATGCTAGAGACTTTATAGAGAGTTGCTATACTATATTAGTCATCACCTATCCCAAAAAGTCTTGTTACCAAATACTGGGGGAAACAGAGAGAGCTCAATGGTTTCTCATTAATATGTGTTCTTTGGTAGAATGGACTCTGTCTTTATATGTAGTTGCAGACCTGTAATCAGGCAGTTACTTATTTGCATCCTTTTGATCAAAGGTTCTAATTTACCTCAAATGGGTTACAGATGCGCAAACCACAGTAAAAATTTCTATTGTGTAATGATACATAGCATTTCCTTTTTAAACATTTCCATTGAGTAATGATACGTAGTATTTCCTTTTTTAATTTGAAAACTATTTTGCATTGAATTTTAAAATTAAAAATTTTTTTTAAATTTAAAATGCTCCTATGCTATTTTTACTTCTGCTTTACATAAGAATAGTTAGTTCTTATACAATGGGCATAAGTATATTCAAAAGATAGCATATTGTTGGAGAATTATACTTAAAAACAAAATCTTCTCCCATCCCAGAAATCCTCTCTATGAAGGTAGTAGAGAAAGGAAACTGTTTTATTACCGAATAAGCATTAAAAACCAGAATATGATGTGCATTACAGACAGTTCATGCAGAGTTTGCAAGAATCGAAGGGAATCTCATCCCTTTAAATAGCAAAGCAGATACACTCCATTACATTACATGCTATTAAGATAAACAGTCACTATTCCTCAGGTAGGAATAGTGGATAGCACTATCCACTATCCACAAAATGTGGATAGCACATTTTATCACACATCGTTCATCATAACTTTTGGGAAAACCACCCATGTTAGCTAATTGGCTTTATCCTAAGGAGAAACAAACTTTTTTGTGTCTTTATGATGGGAGGTAGTTTTATAAATTGGAACATGCAACCACTGAAGTTAGGCTCTTACTCTCTCACAGGAACTGGGAGACTGGGGAGCTATCTATCTCCCTTGATGCTTGCATTTTGAAAAGATAGCTCCCTGGTTCTTGAGAAAGGCATTCCTAGGTCAGAAAGCTGACGAAAGGACTGCTGGTAAAAGGCATATTTAGTCTTCCAAGGAATAGATATGTGGCAAAATATGAAAAAGTGCTTATGATTACAGGCTTGATTGATTGATTGATTGTTGGAGTCTCACTGTGTCCCAGGCTGGAGTGCAGTGGCACAATTTCAGCTTACTGGAACCTTTGCTTCCCTGGTTCAAGGAATTCTCATGCTTCAGCCTCTCAAGTAGCTGGGATTACAGGTGCCTGCCACCACACCCAGCTAATTTTTGTGTTTTCAGTAGACATGGGGTTTCACCATGTTGGCCAGGCTGGTCTCGAACTCCTGACCTCAAGTTATCCACCTGCCTTGGCCTCCCAAAGTGCTAGGATCATAGGCATGAGCCATTGTGCCTTGCCTACAGTTACAAACTTTCTAAGATAAATGTTCTGAGAAAAAAGGAAAGGAGGGAGATCTTTTCCCTTATTTTCAACAGGGAAAATTAACCTTCTTACTTTTAATTTTTATTTTCTCTTTATACTATACCTATGCATATACATATTATATATGTATTTTAGAAGTAGACTTAACCGAACTCAGAGTGTATAGTTGATATTTCATATAAATATAAAATAACTAATTAATTTTTAGCTTCATTTTGTAACTTTTATGTTTTATAACCATATAACATAATAGTTATATAACATAAAAGTTGCCTATAACATAATATTATATAACATAAATTATATAACACATAGTTAACTTTAATGTTATATATTTGTATATTTTATGGCACAATTTCCAACTCAAATGAACTTACTAATAAAAATAGTATTTTCTTAAATAGATGAACAAGACATTTACCTAAATTTCAGAGATGGTTATATTTTTTAAAATTGAATTATTTTTTAAAAGGTAAACATTTTCCTTCACGATGGCATTTAGGTGCCATCAAAATAAAACAGGTTACTGAACTCTGATGCTTTTGGTCTGAATTGCTAATTTTTATTTACTAAACCACTTATACTTAATTTTTTGCCTTACCTAAAATGAGTCAATAAGAAATCATTTTTAAAAGTAAAACAGTGATTAAAACATTGTATTTGCATTCAAAAGTAGTTATTAGGTCAAAACTCAGATGCTAGTATTAAAAAGAAAATATAGTGTGGAACATAGGATATAATTTTTAAATTAAAAACATTTTATTGCCCATATATTAAAACGAACCTAGAGCAGAACTACCTCAAGTGACCATTGATCTTCACAAGGGACAAAATAAGGAAGTAGCTGTATATGCTGTATGCTACATTTAGAATCAAGTCTATTTTTCATCAAATTCAATTATGTTTTTATTATACTCCAGAGAATAAACATAATAGTAGAGGGTATATATATTTTTAAAAATAAAACACTGAATAATAACTGTGGTTCAGAAGAGTATAAATCATTTATGCACTCATTTATTGCTTTCTAACAGAATAGCTTTTAGAAAATTGTATGTCATGACGAATCAGTTATACCACACTTACACTGCAGTAGTTGAATTACCCTTGGCATTTTTGTATTCTAACAGTTCTATTTATCTCTCAGTAGTGTACATTGAATAAGTAATGAACATCTGTATGGTATAGGTTTCCTCCATACTTTTAAAAGAAAAAAAAATTAGTAATTCATCTTAAAATATGATTTTTTTTCTTACACTTGAATTTTTAAAGTAGCAGTGAACCTGACATCTATTTGTGAATTCTCTCTTCTTAATAGCATCAGATTTTATGAGCCACAGGTTCTATTGCCTCCCCAAAGCAGTGATTCCACCAGAATGGAGCAGTGTGCCCAAAGGTCACTGAACCTTAACCCACCCTTCAAGAGAGGGTGTCATTCTCAGACCACTTCACTTTTACATTCTCGTTTCCATTCAAGTCAGACCTAGGTGACTAGTAGGTCTGACAGCAGAAATTAGTGATGATCAATCATTTATTCAAACAATATCAAAATAGGTTACAAGAGTTCAATAACCTGCCAAAGAGAAACACTATGAATGTTATACCACAGTATCATTAGTTCCCTAACTGAAAACTGTGTATAGCAGTAATGAATTGAGTGGAACTTACTAGTTTAACAAGATATTGAAGTACAGAAGTTCTTCTGAGCTCACAATAGGTACATTTTTTAGTTATATAAAAATGAGTTGGCCAGGAATAGTGGCTCACGCCTGTAATCCCAGCACTTTGGGAGGCCAAGGCAAGCATATCACAAGGTCAGGAGTTTGAGACCAGCCTGGCCAATATGGTGAAACCCCCATCTCAACTAAAAATGCAAAAGTTGGGCAGATATGGTGCATGCCTGTAGTCCCAGCTACTTGGGAGCCTGAGGCAGGAGAATCACTTGAAACTGGGAGGCGGAGGTTGCAGTGAGCTGAGATAGCACCACTGCACTCCAACCTGGGCGAGAGAGCGAGACTCTGTCTCAAAAAAAAAAAAAAAAAAAAAAAAGACACAGAGGCTGGGCACGGTGGCTCATGCCTGTAATCCCAGCACTTTGGGAGGCCGAGGCAGGTGGATCATGAGGTCAAGAGATCAAGACCATCCTGGTCAACATGGTGAAACCCCATCTCTACTAAAAATACAAAAAAATTATCTGGGCATGGTGGCGCGTGCCTGTAATCCCAGCTACTCAGGAGGCTGAGGCAGTAGAATTGCCTGAACCCAGGAGGCAGAGGTTGTGGTGAGCCTAGATCACGCCCTTGCACTCCAGCCTGGGTAACAAAAGGGAAACTCTGTGTCAAAAAAAAAGACACAGAATGATTTTTCCCCCCTTAATGTTCAGTTGAGTAAATATAATTGTATCTTAACCATTTATTTTACTTTCCATTTTCTAATTATATACTGTGTGTGTGCCTTAGGAGGTAAGTTTTGCTGCCACCAATGTAGCTTGACTACATTTTTTTTGTATAAAGAAAGATGTAATCTCAACACTTTGGGAGGCTGAGGCAGGAAGATCACCTGAGGCCAGGAGTTTAAGATTGCACTGGGCAACATAGCAAGTTCCCATCTCTACTGTTAAAAAAAAAATCAGCCCAGTCATGGTTGGTGGCTCACCTGTGGTCCTAGCTACTCTGGAGGCTAAGGTGGAAGGACTGCCTGAGCCCAGGAATTTGAGGCTGCACACACTGTTGTACTCCAGCTTGGGCAACAGGCTATCTGGAAAGGAAGAGAGGAAATGAAAGAAAATGTAAAAGGAAAGAAAAGAGGGAAGGAGGAGTAGAGGGAAGGAAGGAGGGAAGGAAGGAAGGAAGGAAGGAAGGAAGGAAGGAAGGAAGGAAGGAAGGAAGGAAGGAAGGAAGGAAGGAAGGAAGGAAGGAAGGAAGGAACAAGCAGTGCTACTGGGTCAGGTATGGTGGCTCATACCTGTAATCCCAGCACTTTGGGAGGCTGAGGTGTGCAGATAGCTTGAGCTCAGGAATTTGAGACCAGCCTGGGCAACATGGTGAAACACTGTCTCTACAAAAAACAAAAACAAAAATTAGTTGGTATGGTAGCACACCCCTGTGGTCCTAGCTACTTGGGGTGCTGAGGTGGGAGGATCCTGGGAAGTGGA